CCCGACAATGCCCAGCGGGCGAAAACGAAATGTAAGATCACTCCAGTGATGTATTCTGGAATATGAATATAAAGTCTGACCCGAGATAACATTTTATCGTGTGAGGACTTTGTATCCAGAATAGTCCGAGTAGAAACTTTACCTGAATTAAAACCAATCGCTCCAATAGATATCTATATTGGGCAAATTCTTGTAAGGCATTTAGTCAACAATTCTGCAAGAAAGACCATGTGCAAATTTCTAAATAAAATATGTTATAAAAGAGTCCAAAAAGGTGTATTGTGCAATGCGTATATGCGGCACGGGCTCATGGGCGTTTTTTTCTCTCATAAAATGTGCACATTTTACTAATTTTGCGGCAGGTGGATCGTAAGATGATCTTCATAATGACAAACTTATAAACATTCCTTATCAAACTCTAAAAATCTTATTGTTATAAAACCAATGACCGACCTCGTGTCCCATATAACCCAATAGCTCTCAGCTATAACCAAATTTTTTGTTTGTTTTCTTTTAGCACAGTACAACTTGGTCTCCATCTATCGTGTCACGTGATCTACATAATTGTTTTTATTATTGTATTTATTGTCTATAATAAAGTCCCGCAATTGAGCATTCTGATTAGTCGAGAAGCCCCTGGTGAATTTTAATAAAGGTTCACATATGTATCCAGTGAATACAAAATGTATTTACATTACTTTACAATCAGTTTAACCATGAACACAGATACTACATTTGCTATTTCAGATTTAATTTCTCACATAAGCATTGATCTGATTAAACGATTACAAGATTATCTATCCCACACAAATCGTTATCAAATTGCTTCGTATTTCAACGATCGGAAAGTTTCTAATTAGCGCCACAGTGAGAAGACCTTAAACTAATCTACATAATCTGCATGACGTTCTGGTTTAGATATCACGTGTTTTTTGTCCGAGAATGTCTACTCACACTCTTTCATTCTCACTGTATCCAGTCGTATATATTGGTGACATCATGGGACAGAGGGGTGTTGTGAGGACATCGCCCGAAACAACTCAGTCTACAATGTCTCATGGTGTTACCTATCTATATACCGGTTGTTTCAATTTAAAGTAGTAGGAAAGATCAACCTAATTCCCCCGTCAACAAATAATTCTTTAAATATCACCATATGTTGACATTGATAACTCAAAGTTATCGCCTCAACAACAACACTGGAACATTTGGGCCAGCTGCTTTAAAGGGCGGTAGTCGTCGCACCACGCATGCGCGAGTCATGGCGTCTTTGATCTTGGTGATTGGAAGGCATCGAATGAATCACCGGCGGTGATTAGTACACGTTGCACCCAGGTCAAAGTGTTCATTAGAAAAGCGCACTGGACTGTGGGAAAATCAATGTTTATCAACACAAATGTCGCACATGCGCGACGCGACGACCTTTGAGTTTGCAACGGCGAAATATGTCACTAAATCATGACCTGTCTTATTGCTGTCTCACTTTGTAGGTGTTTAATTATTAACATTTTCCTCCGAATACATAATATTAATTTGAAACAGCGTTAAATTATGATAAAAATAACCATGATGCAACCTTTGGTATCAGACCCTATATCACCTTTGATATTCAAGTCAGGTTTGTTCAGATACTACATTGGTATTACTTCTTTGTGATATGGTATCTCTGTCATCTTCATTATTTATGTCTGTTGCAGTCAAGTCTTCATAGTTACCTGCCCCAGTGGTAATATCGTCTATGATATTGGGTTTCTTCCCATGTATACGTGCAACAGCAAGAAGAATAATGAAGAACGTAGACATTCCAATCGTAAGCGCCAACATAACGTACATCAGGATCATAACACTATACGCTTCAAATGCATACCCCAGCCACCATGGTAATAATATACCGGACATAGCTGCAGAAATTGTGAATACGGATGTAGCTTTACCAGTCAGAGTTATGTAATTCTCCGCCCATGTGATACCTGTAGCATATACTGAAGCAATAGATACACCAAGTAAAATTGTTCCAAGCCAGAGGATCGTCATGTTCTCAGCTCCCCAAATAACCAAAATCACATCAGCTGTGAGTATTCCGACATGGTCTAATATAAGCATCGTCTTGGGTGTTAAATACTTTGCTACAATTATGTTTAACCCACGTGATACAGCAAAACTTGCCCAAAACACGGATGTAAGTAAACTGGCCATCTCAGTAGAGAATCCCAGGTCACTTTCCATCGCAAATGAATAAATATATCCACCATAAATTACCTCATGGCCGACATACAATACATAGAATATACTCAGAAGGAACAGAAATCCAATTCGAAAACTCATACTTTCTTTGGTAGTTCGCGTGTTTGGGTTGACAGATTTATTGAATGATGACACTGATGTATTATCCGTATTTGTCTTTGCCTTAGGAAGCATACATCCTCGTGGTCCTGTGAAATAGAAGATGAAAAGTGGAATTGACGATGTAAAATGTACCGCTGCTACTATAGTGTAAGGCACCCACAACGTTGGTGACACAGTCTCGTTAGCGTATGTATCTTCTTCAGAGAAAATTCCAAAGAATTCCTTTCCATACAAATTAAATTTCTTATCTGAATCATAGTCAATAACGGTGTCCATATCATTTGTTATGCTCGTTGTCCAGGGTAGTGCAGTTGTTGTCGTTGTAGAG